TTAGAGGTTCTGCTGCGATGTTTTGTGCAATCCTGCATTACATGTACTTTAATTGATCAATACAACAATACATGTAGCTGTAGTTGAATCTCAAACCTCTAAGCCTTTAAGGTCTACATGATATAAGTGTTATCTCACCATTTCGAAGTCTCCAGTGCTGACACAGATGGCCATTGTTGGGAACAGCATGAAGAAGGCACTGTAGAAAAGGAGTCCGTATTTACGCAGCTCCTGTAAAAGTCAGGTAAAACAACAAAAAAACACCCTCAGTCACAAATCACTCACAATAACATTTTACTATAATCTAATCCTAAGAAGACAAGTTAGCCTGGTTATCAAACCTATTTTATATCCCAAGTCTGCAGAGAGGATAAAGACTTGGGAGCTAAAATATAAGGTCTGGTAACCAGGCTGAAGACAAGTCCCACACCTATCCTTGATTACAACTGTCCAACGATTTGAGGTGGGGCACCCATATCAACCACTCTGCTAGGGTGAAGACCACTTGCTAAAAAGCACTGGTGTGGCCCCACTTGGAACATAGTGCCATTGTCTGGGACCTGTATACCACCAAAGCACACAGGCAGTGGAGGCTGTCCAGCGTAGGACCACCTGAGTGACCCTGAATGACTATCGGCAGACTAGCAACAGGACACAACCACGTGACAAATACCATGAAATGCCCCTTCTCTTCAATGAACTTTTGCCTCACCACTTTCTACAACTTAATTCACAACCAAACTACACTACACAATTTAGTATTACAAATTGACAGTCTGTCACCACCTAAATTGGGGTGGGGGTGGGGGGAAAGCAATGTCTCCATGTCACCTTTTACCCACACTTTAGAACAACAAGTATGCAATATAGCAGCCAACAATTTAGTGATTAATTCTTAGATTAGTTAATAGTTGGAGTAAAATATCAAGGAAAAGTCCCTGGTAATATAGATTTGTTTCGGAATTTAGAGTAACAGGAACATTGAACCCAACCACCTCATGATCCTGACTACCATCTAAAGCTTACTGACAAACCTCTTTCACATCCTCCTGATCCTGTTCCTTTAGCACACAAAATCAACAGTTGAAAAAGAAAAGAAATTAATTCACAAGCAGGCCGAGAAATACATTTTTTGTGGCAAAGGAGAGTGATGCTATTTTAAATGATATGTTTGCAGAACTTATTGTTACTCCCAGCGAGATAGCAAATAAAGAGTAAAACTTTCATTGTTCTAAGTTTATAAAAAGGCACCAGGATCATCCTTAAACCTCTGCTTTCTCAATGGAAAGAGGTGCATTGTACTGACTGACTGACTATGCATTGATAAGAAGTGTGTTTAGATGCAATTTTTCCGTACAGCAAGTGAAATCGGGTGATGGTAAAGGAAACAATGACCAGCAAACCCATTTTTGTGTCTAGCTTCTTCTTGAAGTACACGCCGTTCAGCGCCGTGAAAAGGTCGTTGAGAAGTATGAAGACGTAACCCCTGAGGTCAAAGGCAAGGTCGTTTCTGAGGAGAAAAATGACACAGATTACTTACTTTGACCTCTTTTTGAATACACAATTATTAGCAATGCCTTGACGCATCAGCTACTGTTCCTGTGGCCCTGTACATATGTGCAGTACATCAACATACAAACTTTGAAGAATCACAGAAAAGACGCTATTGTACGGGATAATAATTATACATGACTAACATAACATATGGCCGGAATAAAAGAAATCATCCATATTCTTTTATTCTTTAACTTTTCAAATGGCTGAATTACATTATTTTAGAGATGTAGAAACAATCCACAGCACTAAAACCATCAAACAATGCAACTCCCTCAATAGTAAACACACTCCAAAAGCTGCATATTAAAACATGTAGACATAATGAGACACATTTACTTGCAAGGCAGCTATAACCTATAATGGCTCCTATCACCATCAGTAACTATTGCCTGCACTCTTCTGGAAGCTAGGTGGCTAAAAAATCAGGGGCAAAGGAACATTTGTTTATCATTTATTTGTTTGTTCATTTACTTCACCAGGTGATACATATAAAACTAGAGTTCCACGATCTCATACCTTCGCCAAATGATGTTAGCTTTTATGAATAAGAACTTATATACAATGTATTAATCCCCCTGATTATGCAAATAGGATCCGCAATTGCATGAATTATATCTGTTGATCATAATCTCCACTAACAGTCTTATTTTAACAAAGAATGCCATTATAGCATTTCCTCATATATTATGCAAATGAGGTCCTTATTTGAATAAGATATGTTAAATTATGTTCACCTTCACTAAACTTCAAACACCCCAAGTATAAAATTCCAGGCAGTTACCACTATGCAATTATAAAATTTTCTCCTTAATTATGCAAATTAAGTCTTCATTTGCATAATCGATATCTGCCTGTGTTTCTCTCGTTGTTAATAACATATGTCGCAAGCTTGAACTTCCTATCATGGAATGCAGCTGATTAATAGAATTTCCTCATTAATTATGCAAATTACATCCATATTTGCATAATTGTAATATCATTATGTCAAGCATTACTCAAGCTACCTACATACCAAAAATCATGATGATCCATCAATCGGTTCTTGAGTTATCCTCCTTTAAACATTTGTACTTTAAACCCCCCTGCAGTTCTAGAGCAAGCAACTAGGGGGCCCAAACTTACGTCATTTCACCCCCAGCACAAGAGCTACCTGCCATCCAAATTTAGTCACCCTAGCATGTCTGGATCATGAGATATCAAAACCGGAAGTTCAGCTGCAGTACCATGACAAGCCGCCAGGGGGGCCAAAATCTAATCAGTTCGAGCTCTCATCAAGACCTACCCACCTACCAAATATCAAGATAATCCATCTAAGCTTTCTCGAGTTATGCTGTTGACAGACACACAGACACCTAGACAGACACACACACAGACACACGGCCAGGAAAACATAACCTTCTCCAATTCTTGGCGAAGGTAATAATAACATATAGACCACTGGCGTTTTTCAATGTGTGTTTTTCAATGTGATCTGGGGAGAAAAACCTCACTCACTCACTCTCACTCACTCACTCACTCACTCACTCACTCACTCACTCACTCTCTCACTCACTCACTCACTCACTCACTCACTCTCGTCCCGTGACCTCAGAGGTGAGAAAAACCTTAGACATTATAACATAAAAGCTTTCAACATCAAATGGAATTTTAAAAAAACACTGATACAAGAATTCACAAAAACAACATGAAAAGCTTTAATTCCCATTCAACAGGATGTTCCTAAACAAGGTTAGGACCTCAATTTCACCTGTCAGTGAGTTGATTGAAGTGTGAAGTGCCGAAGACCAAAACACTGGAGCCTGGTAGTTGAAAGGATGGTTGCTTGTCAAGAAAATAAATGCTAGTATCAAAAGCACGTCGGCAGAACGTACCTACGCAGAACCCCGCGTTTTTCGTTGGATTTTTGGTCAACATTGCATCAGAATTATGCCTGTTGCAAAGGATATTTTTTCCGACACAACATTTGGAAACTACTGTCGAAATGCTAACCTTATATGAGACGTTCTGTCGAAATGCTATGTACAATACATTACGGGTTTCGCGCAGGTGCAGTACGTTCTGCCGACGTGCTAGTATCAAATCTTCTGTACCTTCTGTGGGTACTTTGATATAGAAAAATTGCAACATGATGTAACCTAACACTAGTTACCATGTTGACAGCCGTCTGGTTCAGGACATTGACCTTATTACCTCCATGAAAAATGGAGGTATTGTGTATTTTGGCGTGTCTGTGTGTGTGTGTTTGTGTTTCCGCACATTTGTAGTCAGCATAACTTAATAACGCCTTTATGGATTGTGATTATATTTGGTATGATGGTAAGTCTTAGGAAGACTTAAATATGGGCCTCCTGGTGGATGACCTTGGTACTGCAGCAGAACTTCCGGTTTTTGTGTCTTTTGTCCTGAACATCTTGACTTTTTGGTGACAGATAGCTTTTCCTGTCAGGAATAAGTGGTGCGGGTTTGGTCCCCCGAACAACTTGTTTTGGAACTGCAGGGGACTTTCTGGCGAAATTTTTAAAAGCCAATAAGTCCAGATGGGAACAACGTATATTTATCATTTTTGGTGTGTAGGTAGCTGAGAGAGAGTTGTACATAATTAAATACAAATTATGCAAATGAGGACTTAATTTGCATAATTAAGGAGGAAATGCTATAATTACAGTGTTTTATATGATAGTACTTTTATAGATGTAATCTATTTAATCTGTGGCAGGCGGAACATCAACAGATACCAATTATGCAAATGATGACCTAATTTGCATAATTAATGTGAAAATTGTGACTCCTTATTGGTCAATGATGAGAATTTTATACATTGTGACATGTGTAAGTTACTTAAAGGTTAACACCACTATGCATATATTATGTTAATGTAGATGGCATTTGCATAATTAATGAGGACATTTTGCATTGAAGTATGACAAAGGAGAGGAATTTTACACGAAATATATTGTCATTTGAATTCAGAAAACCATAAATTAAACTAGATCATGCTAATTACGACCTTATTTCCATAGTCATTTACATAAACATAAAACTCAACTGCCGCCGGTCAGACGCACCTGGGCGCCTGAGATGTGTATCCTGAGCCTAAAGCTGGGTTCCAGGGTGAGCCGGCTGCAGTTCCGTTGACCTCCGCAGGTGGCCATATAAAAGAAGTCGTCACGATGTTAGAACTTTTTTTCAGTTATTTTGTAGATTGTACCGTATATTTCAACGTATTAGTTGGTCGTGTCTCTCTCTTGCACCCTACTACTGTATAATTTGTATCGCGTGGGGTGCTTAACTATAGAAATCCCCACAGGGCGAAAACTGTGTTAAGAGGCCAATATCTGCTCTCGTTCATCCGCCAATTAGTATGCTGTTCTCGGTCCCAGAGCAGTCTGTCGTGTTTTAGAAAACCCCCGAGGTGGAACTGAACTTTGACGGTTGGCCCTCCGACTAAAGGACAGCGACATGGGAATGGGACCGAAGCTTCGTTGTTCCTCCGGCGTTCTTCTGCTAGTTATCTTTATAACACACAGGAGTTGCTCAGAGAAGGTTCTGCTTGTAGCTCCTCCAAGGGGCACCAGCCACTGGATGGCTCTGGCCGACATTGGTCGTGCTTTGGTGGATAGAGGTCATATCGTCACTGTGGTTGTTGCAGAGAACAGTGTAGCAAAACGACGAGCAGAGTGGCCTGACTTTCAGTTTGAGACATTCCAAGACCAAGGAGTCGATGCAAGGTACACGACATTACAAGACAATCATTATTCTAGCGGAAGGAAGTTGTCTTTCTTTGAACAAAGAGGATTATTTGACACTACACTCGGAGAGTTTAGAAATTACTGCGCCCTGCTACTGAATGACAGTAACTTGCAGAGCCGGCTGAGGACATGTCAGTACAGTGTTGTTATTTCTGTCGCCATGTTTCATTGCGGCGCCATCGTCTCAGCTCATCTAGACAGCCTGATTCCCCACGTCGTCCTTACGTACGGGCATCCTACCCACCTGGACGAAAAAGCTACAGGAGTACCGCTGCCGCTGTCGTACGTGCCGTTGATTGGTAGCGACTTCACCGATGAGATGACCTTCCTACAGCGACTTGAGAACGTGGTAGTGTATAGTCTTAAGTCCGGAATGTTACGCCGGGCCATCAGTAGCGCGTATGACGAACTGGTCCGTACGTACGTCGGCGAAGAAGAAACTCTTCAGAGCGTGACGTCACGTACGGAACTGTGGCTTCTTCAAACCGACAATCTGCTGCACTATCCTCGTCCCAGGATGCCCAACATGGTTCAGGTTGGGGGCCTGAATGCCCGTGTGGCCGCCCCGCTTACTGAGGTGAGTTTTATACTACATGTAGCTACCTGCACGTCGCGGATTATGTAGCCTGGTATCCAGTCTGATCGTGGTCGGAGCCGCAAGAGCTCTGTCCCGCCCGCCTCACATAGGTTTCTCGGTGTGTATTTCACGAGAGATTGATTAGCCCTCCCAACCAAATCCCCAAGCATACTGTCTCTTATTAGCGTAACACTACTACCGGGACGGCTTGATGTACTGGGCGGGGGAAGCTATTAGAGCCCCCGATGACACAGCCTGTCTGAACACTCCAAAACCCCCAATCACGTAAGACTAGATACCAGGCTACGGATTATGAGGAAATGTCGTCGAGAAAGATCTGTTAACGTCGACTGAGAGTAAAGAAAATTCACAATTGATGATATGTCTTTATATACCCAAGAACCGCGCCGTGCTTTTGCATTTGAAATTATATTAGACAAGACAATAGTGGAAGACATGCATCGATAGCGGTATACTACCACACAAAGTATTGTGTACTAGTTTGTCTATGACCTTTGCAATACAATGTACCTACAATAAGAGGCATATTGTAACCAAGTAGGCACTGTAAATGTACTACCATGCTTAAGAGGTTGTGACTACGTCTACAGTCTAAACTTGCCTAGACTACCTATTCTGCCAGTCACATTGGCTCCGCAGTATTGACCGCACTATTTTGTGGCTAAAATGCCACAACCAAAGCGAGGACACGCCTGGACAACACATAAAACCAACCACAACCTATCTAAGCCCGTGCTTCATAATGGTGGCTTGGATATGACATAATTGTTCTTTGTGATGTTGTCTTCAAGTTCTGATTTGATTTTACAAAAGGTACATCCTTGCATCCTTGGCGTTACCACACATGCACATTCCCGCCATGAATCAGCATAAAAACTGGCTGTTTTTTTACGGACCGTCGGGTTTACAGAGAAACACGGTGTTACCAGGACAACGTGAACTTGCACTTGGCAAGGGCGCTGCACGGTTGTTTATACCGGCTGTGATGGTGACAGTGGAATGCATACCTGGCACGGACGTTTGTTTACTGGTAAACCCAGATGACTTGAACATGAACTTGCTGCACTCATTTAGATACATATCTGGAGAGTCTTAATCCTTCTTCTCTATTGTTTCCACAACAAGAACCGCGCCGTACTGCTGATTTAAAACTAGACAAGACAATAATGGATGACATACTAGTACATCATTAGCAGCATGCTGCTGCAATATTGGTTTGTCCGTGACCTTTGCAATACCTACAACAAGAGTTCCAGAGTTCCAGAGTTCATGACCTCGTACCTTCGCCAAATGATGTTAACCATTCCGACTGACGAACATTTGTACATTTTTCTCATTAATCATAAAAATATGATCCTCATTTCATTTCCAAAAGGATCAGTTGATCATAATAATTATATTCCACTCAGTGACGTAACAGAGAAGGCTATTCTAGCACTTCCTCATAAATTATGCAACTAAGGTTATGATTTGAATGAATTATGTTTACTGCTGTCACTTTCACTTAGGTTCCAAATATGTAGGACAAGTATGAACTGCCTGGCAGTTACCACTATGAAATTACAGGAATTTTCCATTAATTATGCAAAGTAGGTCTTCATTTACATAATCTATACTAGTATATTCTGAGGTACCTCTCATTTCCAATTACATATATCATAAATGTGCAATAGGCCTATTATGGAATACAGCAGATTTATAGACATTCCTCATTAATTATGCAAATTAGCTCCTTATTTGCATAATTATCGTCAAATCATGTCAAGCAACACTGCAACACTCAAGGTACCGACGTACTGAAAAACACGACAATCCGTCAGCCGGTTCTTGAGTTATCCTCCCTCGAAGATGTTTAAACAAACTGCCCAGCAGTTCAGAACTAGCTGGTTGCGGGCCCAGAACTCGTGTCAAATTTCTCTATCCCAAGACCTATCTACCATCCAAAATTCGTGACCCTAGTATGTCTAGATCACGGGATATCAAAATCGCAAGTTCTGCTGCAGTACCTGCAGGAAAGCCGCCAGAGGGCCCAAAATCTGCATTCCTAGGTCTCATACAGACCTACCCACCTACCAAGTTTCATAACAATCCATCTAAAGCTTCTTGAGGTATCCTGCTAAACCACATACATACGTATACATACATAGTGCATACATACACACACACACACATACAAACGCTACTGAAATTAATTTAACCTTCTTGGCGAAGGTGATAAGAGACATGTTGTAACCGAGACTTAAGGCACTGTAAATGTACTACCATGTATTGTTTCAACCGCGAACTTAAAACACCGCTGAATCTCCTTTCCTTCCCAACGGTACATTTGTCCCCCGCGAACAAAGAATGAATCTACAGTATCTTTTTCCAGGACATGGAAAAGTTTGTCCAGAGCTCTGGAAAGGACGGAGTGATTGTCGTCAGTTTTGGCTCTATGGTCGAAACAATGTCGGAAGATAAGAGAGAAATCTTCGCGGCAGCATTCGCCCGACTCCGGCAGAAGGTGTTGTGGCGTTACGTGGGAGAGAAGCCGGCCGGGCTGGGCGACAACACCAAGCTGCTGGGCTGGCTGCCTCAGAACGACCTACTGGGTACTAAGATTCTCATTGTAATACTAATACAGCCGGCATATGTAGGGAAGTAGAAAAATGGAAGACAAAGGAAATGCTATATAAAATACAGTAGTAATATAGAATATTTTGGGATCATTAAAAAGATAAAACCAGAAATCTGGAATTCCAAACCTCCTAACACTAGACGATCTCACTGCATGCTGTCCGGAGGTGTCAATTCATTTTATTTCAACATCTCAAAGCACAGATACAACGAATAAAAACAATTCGCTTCATCTCGACTCCAATAACCAATTATATACCAAAAATGAAAGAAATCCGTCCATTGTGAGATACAGCTGAAAACAGTACCCTTCCGTGAAAGGAGATAATAACGCCAAGCATGGGGTACGGGACTGTGTCTGTGACAATTTGCAGTCTGATTTTCCTACCTATTGTCTATCTACATGTCCTGTAGCCCACCAAAAGACCCGAGCCTTCATCACTCACGCCGGGTCGAACGGGCTGTACGAGGCCCTGCACCACGGCGTGCCCATGGTCTGCCTGCCGCTGTTCTGGGACCAGCCGACCAACGCCGCCCGGGTGGTGGCCAGAGGGCTGGGGGTGACGCTGGACTTCAGCACGGTCACCGCAGACCAGTTGTACCAGGCCATTCTACATGTTCTCACCAACAACAGGTACTGTTGATATTGATTGGGTTAGCCTGGATGACAGACCCATAGCACACTAGATACAGGCCCAGGGTTATTTAGCCAGCGTGTCTATCAGCAGGCCTTTTAACTAAAGGGGGATGTGGTATGTAATTTCCTTGGGGGCATGGGGGGCATGTTGGCCCTGGAGCCGAGAAACTGGCCGTGTAGGCTTAGGAAACAGCCTGGCACCAAGGCTGCGATTTGGTATACAGGATTTTGGTATACATACATTGTTTTGTACTTCATTACTTGTCTTCAATATTGTTCAGAAGAGTTAGAGTTCAAATTTGATGACTGTATAATTGTACTATCATATAGCCAGATAGCGTTGACCAATCAGACGTCCCCATTGGCTATTGGTTATGACACCATAACACAGGTACACATGGATGGAAAAAATAAAAGTAACAAAAGATTGGATAGGCTATATGGTAATAACGCCCCACCTTATCCTCGGTGTATATGTTGAGATAATCCCTGGTCAGGTGTGATAACCACCTCATAAAGTATAGTTTATTCAGTGGTTATCACACCTGACCAGGGATTATTTTAACATATACACCTCGGGGCGGGACATTAACCCTTTACTATATCATAGAGAAGAGAGTCTACTGTCAGACTTTGCTTAATGTTTCATTTATATGAATAGAGAGATATTCGCTACTTTTTCTATCCTTCTCAGCTGCCGTGAGACGGCGGCCCGCCTGTCCCGTCTGCACCGTGACCAGCCCCAGTCACCTATGGAGCGGGCCGTCTGGTGGATAGAACACGTCATCCAACATGGCGGCCTGCCCCATCTTCGCGCACGCGCCGTGGAGCTGCCGTGGTACCAGTACTACCTGCTGGACGTGGCTGCGTTCCTGCTGTCCGTCTGTGCAGCTGTCCTGGGGACCGTGTGGTTCGGCTGTTCGCTCGTCTGTAGGAAGTGTTGCACTAGAGGTGGCGGCAAGCTGAAGACTCAGTAGGCTTGTACTTGTACTTGATTAGGCCTTCTCAGGTTAGCAAGTGGCCATATTAATACATGTACATCTAGTATTATGTAAATTACGCTAGGGGAAAAGATTGAACGAATTTTATAAGAATTATTGACTAACTATACAAAAATTTTGCGAAAGCTTATATTTCCCGTTGTACAATAGACTATATGGACCGACGTAAACTCATCGTCACAGCCGTATCCCTTGGAGACCTTGGAGCCTCCCGTTGACAGAAAAAGTAGTATGTACCGTTTGGTTATATTGTAGCCCAAACTAGTTTCACAACAGAGCGCCAAACAATAAATATGGCGAATCTTCTCGACGAAATACGGAAGTTTGCATATAAGATCATATAACCCCTGACCTAGATTTGTTCCCGCAGTTGTCGGGAAAAACTCGGCCGGAGTTGTCGGGAGAAAATTTACCGACAGCGGGACGACGCTGTAGAGAATTCTCTTTACACGACGCTCCCGCTGTCGGGAGTCCCGCTGTCGCGAAAACCTGCGTGTAAAGTGCGCCCAGTTTATACAGTACATTTTGTATTTGTTTTAATCAATCTGCAACATAACGTCTTTGTAATAAATACGTAACACAATTAATTTGTGACATATTTCATCAAAGTCTAGCTTTATTGCATAACAATCGCAACAGGTACAATGAATGGCAAGCTCTTCAGTGTTACGACATATATAGCTGATATCTACTCTAACGCTTACAGTAATGTTTATAAGTTCTATTTATGGAAACTATAGTATTTCATTAAGGGAAAATATATGGAACATGGAATGATAATATACAGAAGATCTATATAACTACAGACTAGACACTAGATTATTTTAAGTGACTAAGGTCATGTTGATTTGATTATATGGATGACATCCGCGCGCGCATGAATTTTCGGCCGTTTCCAAAATAAGTTTTTTTCAACCATACTGTAAGCCGTACAAAACAGTTGCAAAATGAGCCAATATATACCGTAGGTTGAACACAAACATTGGAAAACGATACCAATGTCGTAGAATGCCAAAATCAAACGAAAAACATGGCCTAATATAGTATAAATGGTATGAGATATGGACTATATACTACAGTGTACATCAGTTGGTTGAGTCGGATATATAAAAGCACGGATACAACCATCACTGTTTTGAAGCAATTGCACACCCCGAACCGTTCGTTTGCCTGTGTGCGGTTGGTGTTCAGTACCAAGGACAGGTTCGTTTGCCTGTGTGTGGATGGTGTTCAGCACCAAGGACAGGTGTGTTCGTTTGCCTGTGTGCGGTTGGTGTTCAGTACCAAGGACAGGTTCGTTTGCCTGTGTGTGGATGGTGTTCAGCACCAAGGACAGGTTCGTTTGCCTGTGTGTGGATGGTGTTCAGCACCAAGGACAGATATGTTTGCCTGTGTGTGGATGTTGTGTTCAGCACCAAGGACAGGTTCGATTGCCTGTGTGTGGATGGTGTTCAGCACCAAGGACAGGTTCGTTTGCATGTGTGTGGATGGTGTTCAGTACCAAGGACAGGTTCGTTTGCATGTGTGTGGATGGTGTTCAGCACCAAGGACAGGTTCGTTTGCCTGTGTGTGGATGGTGTTCAGCACCAAGGACAGGTTCGTTTGCCTGTGTGTGGATGGTGTTCAGCACCAAGGACAGGTTCGTTTGCCTGTGTGTGGATGGTGTTCAGCACCAAGGACAGGTTCGTTTGCATGTGTGTGGATGGTGTTCAGTACCAAGGACAGGCACATTTGCCTGTGTGCGGATGGTTCAGTACCAGAGACTGGTCTGTTTGCCTGTGCGTTGTACAGTAGAACATTTGTGTCCAATGTCTTGTGTTGGAAATGACAGTTCATAAACTTGCTCCATCTTGACTAGTCTATGATCCAATAATTGACTGTTCTTCCAATAGCTTAATTTTTAAAGCCATTTTCACCCGTTTGTTTTTATGTAAACCCCTGACGTCACCTTTTGTTCTACCCGAGATCTTTGCCAGGCTGTGTCCAGTCTCGATGAACCTGCAGCATGTTTAGCCCCATCATATAGCAAATGCCGTTGCATGCCAAAGTAGCTGAACACTTTGCCCTTAAGCGTGTGGACAGCATCGCGTACCTGTAGCGCCGCCTCGCGGAATGAGTCTGCCCTACATGTGATGGGCCACAAGCGGACGGATTCCAGCCGCGTCATGTTGTCAAACGCCTTTGCCAATGATGAGAGGCTGAGTGCCAGCTCATTTCCCGCCAAGTTGATATTTCGTAGCTCCTGTAGCTCAACTAGCTTTTCGACCATGGCTTTTCCTCCCACAGATGTTATTGAGTTTTCCCTGATATCTAAGGTCCTGAGTTCTTTCAGATGAGGAAACATCTCTGCAATCGCTTCCATCCCTCCATCTCCAATCATGTTCTTGCCAAGATACAAAGAGTTCAGTGCATTCAGCTGGTGAATCTGTCCAGCCATTGACGTCGCTGCTTTTGCAGAAAGTCCACAGCCCATAAGTTGAAGGCTGAACAGTCCTCTCAGGTACGGGAAGAGGCTGGTCAGCGCCTCAACATCATCGCCAAAAAGAGTAAGCCCGGACAGCGATAGATGTGTGTGATCGTTGTCTTTGTGGCCCTGTGTCGTGTTTGACATGTACAGTGCTTCTAACGCGTACAGAATGGACTGGAAGACCTCCCCGTACGTAGCCAAGCCGTGTGTCTTCATGTACTCATCACTTGAAACCCCATGCAGTATGCAGTGTGTTACAGCACCGGCCAAGCTGTTCGGGAGGCCGGCTCTCTCTTTCCAGTACCGACACACAAATGGCCAGAAGAACCGGACTTCCAGCAGTGTCATCACTACCTCATTGTCAGAATAGCGCTCTTCCAAACCCATGGCGGCTAGTGCATCTTTGTCATGTTGGAAATACTTTCTGATGTAGAGGATCCACTCACTCCACCAATCTGCAAATGGGTGATAAAATTATTTTATTAGGATAAAAATCCGACTTGGACTGTTTAATCGACTCGAGTTATGGATAACGATTCGGATTTGTTTATATCGGTCTTTGTTTGTATATGTATGTCTGATTTTATTGTATTTTTGTACTGGGCCCTATTGAAAATCAATTTGTCAAAATTGAACTAGGCCACCCAGGTGTCTGAAGATTCAATGAATAAGTAAAATACTTCATTTCAACATGTCCTCATTAATTATGCAAATAACCTCTACATTTACATAATATATGCATTGTGATGTTAACACTATAATTATAGAATTTCCTCCTTAATTATGCAAATTAAGTCCTTATTTGCATAATTTGCATTTAATTATGTACAACTCTTTCAGCTACCTACACACCAAAAATTATGAAAATACGTCGTTCCTATCTGGACTTATTGGCTTTTAAAGATTTAGCCAGAAAGTCCCCTGCAGTTCCAGAACAAGATGCTAGGGGGACCAAACCCACACCACTTCTTTCTGACAGGAAAAGCTATCTGTCACCAAAAAGTCAAGACCATAGCATGTTCAGGACAAAAGATACAAAAACCGGAAGTTCTGCTGCAGTACCAAGTTTAATTCTGACTTGCAATGCATAATGCTGATAAGCATAAGATTTTATTGGAAAGAAACCGCAATTCAGCACTTGTGCTGCAAGGGTTTTTGTGAATAATAAACCATTCTTTCTCTCTCTCTAAGGTCAGCCAACAGGAGGCCTTGACCGTTGTCTTGCTACGATCTACCAGCAAATATCATCACAATCCATAAAGGCGTTCTGAAGTTATGCTGACTACAAATGTGCGGAAACACAAACACACACACATACAGACACGCCAAAAACAATACCTCCATTTTTCATGGAGGTAACAATGTATATGATGTGCTCAGACATGGCACTGACATCAGTGATGGGGCATCGACTTTTTTAAATGAAAACGACCGTTAGCGAGGCGGAAACACGCAGCTAGCGGCGGCGGTGGTGACGGGATTTCTGCATGTTTACACCACACAATGACGTCACATTATTAGACTATCCTCCAGCGAAGTGGGATATAGGATAATCAATGTCCAATTAACGTTAAGAAACCAGAATTACACATTTTGAATTATCAGATGCCGACACTGCCAAACTGTTTCCAATTGAATTTTGCGGGTAAAAAAGAAATAAACAATAGATGATACGACATATATATATAATGAGTGAAAAATTCCCTAAATTGTATTAAAAAAAGGTCTATATAACCTGCTTTCCTAGCAGAGTTAAGGTCTGTGTTTTACTAAATTCCAGCTGTTTTTAGGCGCTTTGTTGGGTTTTATATTTGCGTCGTATTTTCTTTGGGTTCCCACTTTAGAATACAATCGACAGAAAATGCTTTAATTATACTTCTTTTTGCAACAAAACAGTATTGGAAAAATCACCGTTTACCTACCTGTTGTCTTCCTACTTTCATAAAGTCTCTCTAATTCGTCGTCTTTAGATGTTGAACCCGCCTGTATCGACTCCCTGCTGTTCTCCAGACTCTCCGTCTGTAGTAATGGCGGTTTCTTCTCCATTTTTGCTTGACTTGTGGCGGTTTCCACCGTGCGGTCTTCATCTGCCAAAGTCTCGGTCACTTTTGTGTTCCAAACCTCCATTTTCACGTTTTCGGTCACTCACACGACGGTCATTTTGTCCACGGTTGAGGAAAGATTTCTGTCTGTATCGCCGTTTCCCTTACGGTTTCCGACATACACGTTATGTATCGTCTCCTGTAAGGCCACACCGTCTTAATTCTATGGATGACATCCTCTGAAGACCCCCTAATTAGTGCGCGCGGGCGAATAGAAAAAATTCCGGCCCAAAATAAAAATGCTTCTAAACCACAGGAATACAAAGCTGGTATTGTGAATTTGTTAGTGGAGCAGATAACATCAAATTTTGGAGGAATCTTTCAAATTGTGATACAAGCTTGCGTTGCAGCTTGCGTTGGAACTGCAGGAGCGTTTTTGCCGGTGCACAATTTCCTTCAAGGGCGCTTTTTTTGCTTCGTAAGCTCGGCTGCAGTACTAAAAAGCGCCTTTGGAGCAAATTTTTGCACCGGCAAAAAACGCTCCTGCAGTTTCAACGCAAGCAGCTAGAGACACCAAATTTACGGCACTTCTTCTTAACTTTAACAGCTTTCTACCACATAAAAATCATGACTCTAGCATGTTTAGAACAAAGCCCGGAAGGTCGGCTGCAGTACCAAAAAGCGCCGCTAGGGAGCACCAAAGGTCAAATCAAGTGGCCCGCGTACTTTTTCAAAAGAGTAATGTCTCATGAGTATTTGTACCAAGTTTGGTGCTTGTATCACAATTTGAAAGATTATTTCAGTTATCTGCCCCACTAGTATACGATAATACGGCACATGTTGGCTTTTTGCGGAGTTTTGGATCGGCACTGTACGTATGTACTGAGTTCTTGAGCCGTGGAGCTTCAGTAGCCTGGGTGCCAGGCTGTCGCTAACTACCATGGACTACCCAGGCCTAGATCCCAGGCCAAAGTCTCGGAGGACGTGATCTTTTTTTTGTTGTTGTTGTTGCCTGCCTACCTGAGAACAGGCTAAAATCAATTCGCGCGCGGATGTCATCCATAAAATTAAGTCGTTGCGGCCTAAGGCTGACGAAAAATGCTATTTTGACCAAGGACCTTCTGTAAAAACGTCCTCGATTGATGTTGTTGCCATGCCCATGGAAATTAAATTCCGAATTACGTCAATCCGACGCTGATCGTGTGTTATTGCATGGATTTATTCCTTCCGAAATGAGTCTGAATGACTGAATATGAGCCCAGCCTGGTGAGAGGAGATGGCGGAGCTTTTGTTTACATGAACCAATAATTATAATTTCTTTCAGGAGTTAAAAAATGACTTGGTGCCCCTAAAAGAGTCCGGTCTGAAAGAAATAAGGGACTACAAAAAACAATGAGTTGATCATGATTTCCCTTCTATCAATGCAGTGTAATATAAAAAAAAAAGATCTGAGATAAAAACTTGCTTAGATAAGACGGTTGCGGCATCTAAGCTAAGGTCGGACGTATACACTTTTCTATTCCTGAGTACTGCGGTCAGATACTGTTCGCGTGAGGTAGAGAGCCACTGGACAGCCATGTGACAACCGCCGGGCCATGAGGTCATTTGCGCCCGTAAGGGAACAAAAAACCCCAAAAGTGACTCTCTCCATTGGAAATGTATTACGCCAGTCACTTTTAAAATTAAAATCAATATAACGAAAGACAGGAAATAAGGAGTGATAAACTTTCAGGTTCAGGATACACCTCTCGCCTAGGTGCGTCGGCCAAGCGCATAAAGTCGGACCGCCGGGGCCACCTGCAGCTGTGGCAGGCGGGATAAACAATCTCACCTGTTGCTAGTGATGACGTCACACACACACACACACACACACACACACACACACACACACACACACACACACACACACACACACACACACACACACAC